TCGTCATCTGGGGCCTGGCCCACTCCTCAGTGTTCCCGCGTTGCTGCTTTCATCGCGGTGAGCCAGACCTCAGCGGGGGCGGGGTGATTGGGCGCGAATGTGCGCCTGGCCGCCTTCTTGAGAGCCTGAAACGTGTAGGACCAGTCATCGTGCGCCGCCGTGCCAGGATTGCCTCTAAGTGCCTTCCACTCGCCATCGGGATCATCCTGTGCACGGAGAGCGAGGGCCACTTCAGCGGGAAACTCGGGCTCGGGAACCTGCACCGCCGAGGAGCCTCCGTCAGGAGCCGACGCCTCCGTCAATTCAGTGACGCTGGGTTGGTAGTGGGGCAGGAGTGCAGAAGCGACGGCGCCGAACTCCGTGATATGGCGCCCCGATCTCGTAAGCAAGGCGCCAGACTGTGTTCGTGTGACCAAGCTCCGTGGCGCGGACAGTCTCCTGCAGCAACCTATCCACGTTGGCAGTGTCGACCTGCTTGCGAACCCTCTTGATCTCTCGGTCGCACGCTCTCACTGCCAGACGATCCTCCTCGTCGAAACACCTCCGACCGAGTGAGTCTGGCCCGAGTGGAGTGGGACCTCGCAGGCCTGCTGCGCTGCTGCACGTACATCTGCAACCAAGGACTGCCATGCTTCCGAGGGATCGTCAGTCTCATCTGCTGCCTCCAGGTGGTGGCGCTCCTCTCCGAGAGCCTCTCCATCTCTCCCATGAATTCCAAGTCGCCTCCTGGCCGCAGGAGGGCCGCCATCTGGTCGCAGTCCCGGCGAAGCTCTAGCTCTTGTGGTGGGTCAGTATAGAGCTTGTAGCGCAGCCTCCAGAGCAAGGGACAGTGGTCCCTCGGCCTTGGGTGTGGGATACGCCGAGGTCCCTCATGGCCGAACGCAAGGTGCAACACGATACAGTGGGCTGCACCACCCCGCATGGGGCGAAGAAATGATATGGGTTCGAAGTGACGCCGTCTTCCTGACCGGAAAAGATGGGACCCGTCGCGAAGAAGGTGTCCACAGCGCGCTGGCGAAGTTATCCTGAGCAGCCTGGTTCCGCCCGACATGGAGGTCATCTGTGGTATATTGCGGCATGCCCTGCAGCACCGTGGACTTCCCGAAGCCTGAGTTCGTGTCGGCCCCCACTATGACCAGGGCGCGGCGTGGTGCATGCTGTAATGTCTGGTGGACCCACTGGGTGAGCTTCGCGACAGTCGCCTTCCACGCGTCCACCTGGTGTCTCTGAGGTGGTGGATAGTACGCTAATGCTGCGATGATGTCGAACTGGGTGCTGCGGAGCCTCACGGCTCCCCCTCTCCCTCGCAGCGGTGGAGGCGGTTCCATGATATCCTGGATGTGACAGCGTCTGAACGCTCGTGAGCGCAACAGGATACTGCAGCCAGCGCTCTTATTCGTCATCGTGCCGCGCTGCGAACCGAAGGAGAGGTGGATGTGCTTCGCCGTCTGCGTGATCTGCACCGAGTCGCCTCTGGGTCTGCGCCTGGCCTGTGTCCCTGGACACATGATGATGTCAGCGAATGCGAACCGAGAAGAAACATATGGACGCGCCAGGCGTCCGAAAGAGACAGGGGATTGTACAGTATCGTCTGAAATAAAGAGGCCCACATGGGCGGGTGGGAGCGAAACGCAGGCGGGGGTGTTGTCCTGCGGAGAACAGAAACAGGGGGCCGCTCTCCCCCTAGACCTTGGCCGGAGAAGGAAGAGGAGGAGGAGGAGGAGGAGGAGGAGGAGGAGGAGGAAGAGGAGGAGGAGGAGGAGGAGGAGGAGGAGGAGGAGGAGGAGGGAGGAGGGGGGGGAGGAGGAGGAGGAGGAGGAGTTGTGGAGGAGGTGGCTGAGGGAGGGCAGGACGGAGGGAGGAGGGAAGAGGGTTAGGGCCGCTGGACCCGACCCGACCCCGCCCGCCCGTTAGGGACCGCCCGTCCCGACCCGACCCGACCCGCCCGTTAGGGTTCGCCCGATTCGACCCGACCCGACCGTTAGGGTTCTCGCGTGCTCTCTCGATTATGCATCAAATTTTTATGTCCCGCCCGCACGACCCGCCCCGCCCGTCAGGGTCCGCCCGACCCGACCCGACCCGAGCGCCCGTTTGGGTCCGCCCGACCCGACCCGACCCGACCGTTAGGGCTCTCGCGTGCCCACTCGATTATACACCACACTTTAATGTCCCGCCCGCCCGACCCGACCCGCCCGTTAGGGTCCGCCCGCCCGTCCCGACCCGACCCGCCCGAGGAGGAGGGGGGGAGGAGGGCCAGGAGGAAGAGGAGGAGGAGGAGGAGGAGGAGGGAGGAGGAGGAGGAGGAGGAGGAGGAGGAGGAGGAGGAGAGGAGGAGGAGGAGGAGGAGGAGAGGAGGAGGAGGAGGAGGAGGAGGAGGAGGAGGAGGAGGAGGAGGAGGAGGAGGATGAGGAGGATGAGGAGGAGGAGGAGCGAGGAGGGGGAGGAGGACGAGGAGGAGGACGACGACGGCGACGGCGACGGCGACGACGACAACGACGGCGGCAGCGGACTCGGCGAGACCAGCCCCGGCGAAACCAGCGGGGCGAAACCAGCGGGACGAAACCAGCGCCGGCGAAACCAACGTCGGGCGAAACCAGCGCTGGCGAAACCAGCGTCGGGCGAAACTAACCCCGGCGAAACCAGCCCCAGCGAAACCAGCCCGTGCCGCGAATTAGGTGGCTTTTTGACCGGCCGGCTGCAAACACTCGCTATCCGCCACCCGCCGCAACCGCAGAACACTGCCACCGATTGCTGAACACCCGCCGCTCCCATTGCTACTCAGTGCTCCTGACATAGGGCCTCACACAATTACTCATCCAGGTTCTCTCCTCAATTTTCATTGCGTTGAAACAGGAACACGGTGACGCGTGTGTGGCCTGGGTTGGCGCGAGAACGACACTTCCAACAGGAGAACCGCCGAAAGTCCGTCTTCCGAAGCCTCCCCACGTCGAAACATCGAAAGTGCGATTTTGGTTATATACTTCGCGGGGGACAGCGATCTCTGTGCTAGGCTAATCCAGGCATCGTTCTCCTGATGAGACGACTTGCGTTGCGGGCTTGTACGCGGCCCGGTGGTGGGCACTACCACGACTTATCTACAGGACGCGCACACGGGAGCCAGACATCAGGAGAGACATAGTCAAACACCCATCACCTCTCAATATCATTCCTTCAGGAAATCTCGGGTGCCAGAATACGGCAGACTACATTTCACCAGAGCAGCTACTGGCCCAAACCAGGCAGCACACGCTATTAGATATCATACCATAGCAATAATGCAGAACACATCAACTTAAGCCATGACGATTCCATGTCGTGCGCCCGTACTTCGGTGAAGACGAACAGATTTGCAATGCTGGTGGACAGACGGCCAATCTCGGCCCATTCGACAACACGACAAGGGTTCCCGTCTTTTCCCATGATTACGACCTGTGAAGATACCACATGTGCTTCGATGCTACTTGGCATCGCATAATGCTCGACACGATCCGCTGTCCCACAAGGGACCAGATTCAGCCCGCAAAGTTATGTCTGCCTGAAGCCTCCTCATTCGAATCCATTTCATCTGTTCTCCAACCCTCTCACCTCCTGATCCGACATGTCCTGGTAACACCTCCTGGGGTCCTCAATCCCGCCGCCCCTCGTGGACCAGGAGCATGCTGGCACGTGACCCCCTCGTATCCCTCTGGAGTGTTGCGCCCCCCTGATCCGATCAAAACTCAGGGAGGCCAAACTAGGCGTGCGAACGTAAGGCGGGCGTGTGGGGCCGCAGGGCGTGCGTCAGATGTGTATGATGGCACACAATGTACTAATGATTTGGGGGATGCCTACACGAGTGTAGTGGTCATGCTGGGCGTTGTCGTTCTGGTTATGCCTAAGTGAGTTTAGAGTGGTGGTGTTCTTAAACGAATCAAGCGAAACCAACCTCTGGAATTACCCCGACGCTCTCCGCAAGTTCGCCACAGCCTCCAGGGTCCCTCTTGCAGTCGTCTGGGGCCCATCTTGGACCCTTTCCCAAGCGGACTGGACGCCGAAGAGGGCGACAAACGAACAACATTGTTTGTCGATGATTCTCGTCTTTTTGGGCCGTCGTGGAGCCTCCAGGGCCTGTCTTCGAGGCCATTGGAACCAATCTGGGCAAGCTCTGGAATTCCTCTGCGACTCATGGAAAGCTCCATGAAACTTGGAAGACCGCCATACATCCTACTAGTCTCTGGTGAAGGACCCCCCCCCCTGGAAGGCATCCAGAGTGTCCGTCCCAAACTACATAGAATTATCTCTTTATCCCGCCGTTTCCCCCCCCCCCCCCCCTCTGCCACACCCCTCTCAGGGCGGCTCCGCGAGACGCCCGTGCAAGGCACACAGGCCTCGACAAGCTCTCCAACAAGCTTCCAAGAAGAGGCTATAGCTGTACGACCATCGTGCTGCCGTGAGAAACGTCAAACAAGGAAGGGAGGGGCTTTTCTGGCCATGCCACGCCTCGGACATGTGTGTATATTTATATACATAACTATATATGTATATATATATATATATACACGTGTACATATATACACATGCTTGTGTGACTGTGGACCCGTTGATCAAATTCACAACGCTGCGAGAGTCGAGATTTGCCAACTCCCGCTTCTCTTTTGGCGCGGAAAATCAATACCGTCAAGCCCTCCTGCGGGGCCTCCTGGGGCTTCTTGGGGGCCTCTGGGGCCGTCTTGAAAGTCTTGGGGCCCTCCTGGGCAGACTTACGTCTCTCTGCAACCGTATTCGGGCCTATTGGAGTCTTTTTATGGGGGGCCATAGTGAAGGCTTATTGGGTCGTCTTGGGGGCCTCTTGAGCCGTCTCGGGACGATCTTGGGGGCCTCTTGGGCCGTCCTCGGGGCCCTGATGCTCGAAAGCTTGCGTATCTCGAAACCCTTCAAGACCAACAGGACTTCGATGTTTTGGGGGTCTTGAAACCCTCTTGGGGGTCTCGTGGGCCCTCCGGGGGCTGTTTCTCTCCTCACTTCCTCTCTGATGAAAGATACTGGTGGGTGCGGGGCCCTTCCCTACCGGCGTTCCTTGGGGTTGCCTGGGCGGCCCCTGGCGTTGCTCGGGGTTGGCTGGGTCAAGCTATGCCCAGCAGTGCCAAGCAACGCCAGGCAATGCAAGCCAATGCACAGCAATGCCAAACAAAGAACAGCAATGCCAAGCAATGCAACGTAATGCCAAGCAATGCAACGCAATGCCAAATATCAAGCAATGCTAAGCAAAGCCGACACGGCCAAACAATGCAACACATCGCCACGCCACTCTACGCAATACAAAACAATGTCAAGAACTGCCAAGCAACGGAACGCAGTACAAAGCAATGCCGTGCAACGCCAAGCAATACGAAGCAATGCAAAGCAACGCTTCCAGCAATTCCAAGCAATGCCAAACAACGCCAAGCAATGTAAAGCCAGTGCCAAGCTATGCCAAGCATTGCAAAGCGAGTCCAAGCAATGCCACGCAACGCCGAGTAACGCCAAGGCACACGAAGCAACGCCAAGCAACGCCAAGCAATGCAAAACAAAACGAAGCAAGGTCAAGCAACGCTTCCAAGCAATCCCAAGCAACGTCAAGCAAAACCGAACAATGCAAAACAATACCAAGCAATACCACGCAAAACTTTGCATCGAATTGCTTTGCGTTGCTCGCAAGAGGACCCCTGACTGGGTCGCGCTGTGTTCATGGTTTTCGCATGGAAACCGACTGACTTCACCAAGCAATGCTCGCATTGCCTGACGGTCCCGGTCATCGGCTCAGGTCACCAGCGCCTCAAGAAGCTCGCCCCGTCGCCCGCTTCTCGATGCTGGTCGAACATGCCCAGGTGCTCCAGGCAGGCGCGCACGCAAAACGAGTCATAAAGCTAACCCGGCTCGTCCAATGAATGTGCGCCTCTTGCTTCCGCGCGCTTCGTTCCTGGTCTCCACTTTCAGCGAACATATTTCGTTAGCCTGTCGATGAATTTCGACATGGCCTTGCGGCAGGCATATGCCTCTCCTGGCACAGAAACGCCTGCACTCCTAGCAAGTGTCTCCCCGAAGTGGATCTGCTTGGCGGTCGGCTCGACGACGGTGTCCTCCTCGTGCTGTTCGATGAAGGCCGCACAAAGTCTTCGATTATCAAGCACCTCCTCTGGCAAGTGCATATTCTTTGCCTTTGCCAACTTCCGCGCGAGAGCGGCCATGGGCTTGGTTGGGGGTGTGAACTCTTCGAGCACCTCGATCCACCTGCGGCACGCATCCTTCCTCGTCAGCGCCTCCACCGAGAGCTCGACGCCCAGGCGCTGCGTCAAGAATTTGGCCTGCTGGAGGTCCCTCTTCGTTGGCGGTCTAGTGGCTATCATGCCATCGAGAAACTCCTTGCAGTGGTCGCGCCTTGCCCGCACGTCCTCGGGCACCTTCACGTCAGCCTCCTCCGCGAGTCTCTCCGCTAAGCCGATCTGGGCGGGCGTGGGCGGGCGCAGCCCCTGCGCGTACTGCTCCTCCAGCCGCTCGTTGATGAACTCGCTGCAGACGTTGGAAATGCGCTCCGCGCCCTCTGGCAGGTCGAGGCCGGCCTCCTGCGCGAGCCCCCTCGCGAAGCCGACCTGCTTCTCTGACGGTGGCCGAGGCCCGAGCACGGCGATCATGCCGTCGATGAACTCGGAGCAGGCCTCCTGGCTGCGGCGTGCGGGCACGGGCATCTCCTCTCCGGCCTCCTCCGCGAGGCTCTCGGCCAGGGCCAGCTGCCTCTCGGTTGGCTCCGGCATCATGATCATGTCGTTGATGTACTCGTTGCAGGCCTCCTCGCTCCGCAGCGCGGAGCTCGGCGGCTCGGAGTCCATGCGGCCCGCGAGCCTCCCGGCCAGCCACAGCTGCCGCTCCGTGGGGGGGTCGAAGACGCCCGAGGCCACGGCGGGCGCGTCAGGGGAGGGGACCTGTTGGGATGTCTCCCAAATGGGGTCCGGTAAGACGAGGCCAGGACGAGGACAAATTCGGATCAAGATGAATCGAGCATCCCTGAGATCCAGAGGTTCTGGAAGATGTCTCGGGCGCCGCGGCCTTCTCAGAGCGTTCCGGAACGTTCTGAGACGGACTCATCCTTGTCCTCGCCCCGCCCGATCCGAGCAGACGGGGTCGGAAGATCGCGCCGCATCGCCGATGCACGGGCGCCCTTGGCGTGGAGAAGGCCAGGCTCCGCGTCAAGCCGCATCGCGGGTGTAACGGCGACGCGGCGCGGATCCTCCGGCCCTCCTTCGGGAGGCCTGGGCAGCCTGCCCTCCCCGTGCGCGCGTCTGCGTCCGCGGCGCGCCCGCGGACGGCCCTGGCGCGCCGGCAAAGGGCGGCCCCCGCCCCAGGATGCACGCGGCCGCGGCGGCCGCCGCCCAGGCCGCGCGCCCGGCGCGGCGCCTCGAGGCCCTGGTCGCCGAGGCGGCGGCCATCGCTGCTGCTCCCGCGCGCGGCCGTGCAGCGGGGGTGGGGGGCGGCGCGGCCTTCCCAGGGGCGTCTCTTGGGCTTCGTGGGTGGGCAGCTCAACGCGCCCGCCCAGCGACTGCGAGCAGCGGCGAGCTGGCGCAGGCGGCAGTGGCAAATCCTCGACACACCCACCCAACGACTACGAGAGGAGACGAGCGGGCTCTGGCAGCAGCGGCAAATCTCCGACACGCCCGCCAGACGACTGCGCGCGGCAATAACGGGCGGCGACGGGCGAGCACGGGGCGAATTCTCGACGCGCCCACCCAGCGACTGCGACGCGCAGGCACGGGCGGCCACGCGGCGAATCATCGGCACACTCGCCCAACGAATGCGAGCGGCGACGGGCTAGTGAGAGCGCCCGCGTGGCGAATTATCGGCGCGACCAGCAAGCGGCGATGGGCGGCGTGGCGGCATCGTGGCGAACCCTCAGCGCGCGCCCACCAATCCACTGCGAATGGCGAGGAGAGAGCGCGAGCGGCCGCGGGGCGAACCGTCGACGCGCCAGCCCAACGGCCACGAGCGGCGACTACGAGCGGCAACGGGCGAGCAAGGAACGGGCCCTCGACGCGCCCCCCCCAACGACTGCGGGCGGGCGCGCGCGGCCGCGGGCCGAATGCTCGACGCGCCCACGCATCGACAACGACGACGCCCCTCGGGTGGCCGCGCGGCGAATCATCGGCACGCCTACCCAACGACTAAGAGCGGCGACGGGCGTGGCCGCTCGGCTGCGCGGCGAATCATCGGTGCGCACATCTAACGACTATCAACGGCGACAAGCACGCGCTGGCGGCATCGTGGTGAATCCTCGACGCGCCAACCCAGCGACCGCGAGCGGCGACGAGCCGGACACGGGCGGTCCTGGCAAACCCCCGTCGCGCCCGCCCAACGATTGCGAGTGTCGACGAGCGAGCACGGGGCGAACCTTGGACGCGCCCGCCCAGCGACTGCGCGCGGGCACGCGCGGCCGCGGGGCGAATCCTCAACACGCCCGCCCTGCAACTGCGACGCGCGCGTACGGGTGGCCATGCGGCGAGTCCCAAGCGCGCCCACTCAACAACTGCCAACGGCGACGGGCAGGCGCGAGCGGCCACAATCATCGATCACCTTGCCAATGGCTATGGGCGGTGACGAGCACCCGCTGGCAGCATCGCGGCGCGTCCTCGACGCGCCCACCTGTCGATTGCGAGCGGCCGCGAGCGGCCGTGGCGAAACGTCGACGCACCCACCCACCGACTACGCAGAAAACTACGAGCGGGCACAGGGCGAATCCTCGACGCGCCCACCCAGCGACAAAGAGCATGCGCGTGTGGCCATGTGGCGAATCGACGCACCCGTGCAGCGACAGAGAATGGGCGCGCGCGACCATGGGGCGAAACCTCGGCGCGCTGGCCCCGCGACTTCGACGCGCGGCCGCGGGGCGAAACATCCGCGCGCCCGCCCAGTCACAGCGAGCGGGCGCGCGCGGCCATGGAGAGAATCCTCGAGGCGCCCCCCCAGCGACTCCGAGCAGCGATGACGCGCCGCGACGAGCGGGCGCGGGCTGAAACCCCGACGCGCCCATCCAGCGACTGCGAGTGGGCGCGCGCGGCCGCGGGGCGAATTCTCGACGCGCCCGCCTAGCGACTGCGCGCGGCGACCGCGAGCGGGCGCAGGGCGAATCCTCGACGCGCCCGCCCAGACACAGGGCGAGCGCGTGTGGCCATGGGGTTATTCGACGCACCCATGCAGCGACAGAGAATGGGTGTGCGCGGCCATGGGGCGAATCCTCGGCGCGCCGGCCCAGCGACTACGACGCGCGGCCACGGGGCGAATCATCCGCGCGCGCCCGCCCCAATCACGGCGAGCGGGCGCGCTCGGCCATGGAGCGAATCCTCGAGGCGCCCCCCCCAGCGACTCCGAGCAGCGACAACGTGCCGCGACGAGCGGGCGCGGGCTGAACCCTCGACGCGCCCATCCAGCGACTGCGAGTGGGCGCGCGCGGCCGCGGGGCGAATTCTCGACGCGCCCATCCAGAGACGGCGACGCGCGGGCACGGGCGGCCACGCGGCGAATCATCGGCACGCCCGCCCAACGACTATGCGCGGCGACGATCGTGCACTGGCGGCGCCGCGGCGAATCCTCAACGCGCCCGCCAAGCGACCGCGGCCAGCGACGAGCGGACGCGGGCGGTCGCGGCAACCCTCCGACAGACCCTCCCAACGATTACGAGCGGCGACGAGCGAGCGCGGAGCGCACCCTCGACGCGCCCGCCCAGCGACTGCGAACGGGCGCGCCCGCCCGCCCGACGACGACGCGCAGGCGCGGGCGGCCGCGCGGCGAATCATCGGCCCACCCGCCCGACGACTACGAACGGCCGCGAGCTAGCGGGAGCGGCCAGATTGCGAATCGCCGACGCAGCCAACCAACGATTATGAGCGGCGACGGGCAAGCACTGGCGGCATCGCGGCGAATCATCGGCACGCGCCCACCACGCGAATGCGAGCGGCGACGAGCGGGCACGGGCGGCCGCGGCGAATCCTCGACTCACTCGCCCAGCGACCACGAGAAGCAACAGGCGAACGCGGAACGGGCCCTCGATCCCCGGCGACTACGAGCGGGCGCGCGCGGCCGTGGGGCGTCTCCTCGACGCGCCCGCCCAGACTACGACGCGCGGGCGCGGTTGTCCATGCGGCGAATCATCGGCGCACCTGCCCTACGACGACGAGCGGCGACACCTGGGCAGGAACGCCCAGGTGGCGAATCACCTGCGCGCCCACCCAACGACTGCAAGCGGCGACCTGCGGGCGCGAGCGGCCGCGTGGCGAATCACCGACGAAGCCACCCAGCACCTATGAGCGGCGGCAAACATGCACTGGCGACATCGCGGCGACGCGCGGGCACGGAGCAAACCCTCGAGACGCCCACCCAGCGACTACGCGCGGGCACGCGCGGCAACGGGTTGAATCCTCGACCCCCCCCCCCACCCAAAGACTACGACGCGCGGGCACGGGCGGCCGCGGGGCGAATCGCCGGCGCACCCGCCCAACGACTGCGAGCGGCAACGAGCGGGCGCGATCGGCCACGTGGCGCATCGCCGACTAACCCACCCAGCAACTATGAGCGGCGACAAGCATGCACTGGCGGCATCGCCCACCCGGGGACTACGAGAGGCGACGCGCGGGCGCGGGGCAAAACCTCGAGACGCCCACCCAACGACTACGTGTGGGCACGTCCGGCAAAGGGTTGAATCCTCGACACCCCCGCCCAACGACTACGACGCGCGGGCAAGGGCGGCCACGGGGCGAATCGCCGGCGCACCCACCCAAGGACTACGAACGGCGACGGGCGGGCGCGAGCGGCCACCTGCCGAATCTTCGACAACCCAACCAGCGCCTATGAGCGGTGACAGGCATCCATTGGCGGCATCGTTGCGAATCCCCGACGAATTCGCCTGACGACTACGAGCGGCGACGAATGGGTACGGGCGGCCATACGGCAAATCTTCGACGCACCCACCCACCGACTTCGTGCAGCGACTGCGAGCGGCGACGAGCGAACATGGGGCGAACCCTCGACACAACCACCCAACGACTAAGAGCGGACACGTGCGGCAACGGGCCGAACCGACAAACCCGCCCAGCGACAATGAGCGGGTGCGTGCGGCTAGTGGGCCGAATGCTCGAAACATCCGCCCAACGACTGCGACGCGCGGGCACGGGCGGCCACGGGGCGAATCGTCGACGCAGCCTTCCGGCGACTAAGAGCGGGCACGAGGCGAACCCTCGACACGTCATAATCCCACGACAACGAACGGACACGTGCGGCCATGGGACGAATCCTCGACAATGCCTCCCAGGGACTACGAGCGGCGACTGGGAGCGGCGACGAACGGGCACGGGCCGAACCCTCGACGCGCCCATCTAGCGACTACGAGCGGGCACGTACGGGCGCGGGGCGAACTCTCGGCGCGCCCGCCCAGCGACTACGACGCGTGGGCACTGGCGGCCACGTGGCGAAGGTTCGGCAATCCTTCCTAACGTCTGCGAGCGGCGACGCGCGGACATGGGCGGCCACATGGCGAGTCATCGACACACCCACCCAGCAACTGCGAGCGGCGACGAGCGGGCGCAGGCGGCCACGGAGCGAATCCTCGGCATACCCATCCAATTCTTGAATGAACTACGCAAGACCCCCTGGTACAAACAGTGTTTTGGGATTTCGCACTAAAAAGAGAGGAGGGAACCGAACGGTCAGTCATTGTCCCTGGGTGCGTGGCTGAAGAGGGAATTCGTAGTGAAAATTCTGCTTGTTGCGATGTGTTTGTTGTTGTTGTTGTTCTTGTTGTTGATGTTGCTGTTGTTGTTGTTGTTGGTATTGTTATTGTTTTTGTTATTGTTGTTCTTGTTGTTGTTTTTGTTATTGTTATTGTTGTTGCTTTTGTAGTTGTTGTTGTTATTGTTGTAGTTGTTGTTGTTGTGGTTGTGGTTGTGGTTGTTGTTGTTGTTGTTGTTGTTGTTGTTTTTGTTTGTTGTCGTCGTCCCACCCGCGACCCACCCCGCGAGCCACCCCGCGAGCCACAAGCCACCCGCGACGCAACCCGCGACGCAACCCGCGACCCAGCCGCGACCCACCTGCGACCCACCCGCGACCCATCCGCGACCCCCCCCGCGACCCACCCCGCGACCCACCCGCGACCCATCCGCGACCCACCCACGACCCACCCCGCGACCCACCCGCGACCCACCCTGCGACCCACCTTAAAAAGAGGAAACACCACCTGGGCGTTTACTAAACAGCCCTGCCCTGTTCGATTCAGTCCTTGTGTGCGTTTACTAAACGGCTTCGCTTCTCGGGGTGATTCTTATGGGGTGGATTTTCTGCCTTCTACACCCGCGACCCACCCATGACCCATTTGCGACCCACCCACATTGGTTTAACGCAAGAATCGGCGCCTGCGGCGGGCTCGTTGCATAAAATGAGAAACTTTGGCGCCTGCGGCGGGCTTCTCCGGAGTCTCGCAAACTGCCGACGTCTCCACCGCCCCCTTACTCTTATCCGCATCTGCGGGGTGCTATGTACACAATATATGCATATCTCTCTCTCTCTCTTTCTCTTTCTCTTTTTTTCTCTCTCTCTCTCTCTTTCTCTCTCTCTCTCTTCCCCTCTCTTTTTCCCAACCGCCCTGTGGTGTTGGGTCCTTGTTTTGAAGAGACGGTCCCCGCGTTTCCTCCTCCTCCTCCTCCTCCTCCTCATCCCTCCTCTCATCATCATCATCAACATCATCATCATCGTCATCATCATCGTCGTCCTCGTCATCACCAACATCAGCATCATCACCGCCCAATGCAGCGCTTCGTGGCCCCACGGGGAGCGCCACCGAAGGTCCCCGTGGCGAAGTCCGCAGCCGTCTCCCCCATCCAGTACAGCGTTTCGTGGCCCCATATGGGGCTCCACCGAAGGTCCCCGTGGCGCAGTCCGCATGCGTCTCCCTCACCCAGTAAAGCGTTTCGTGGCCCCATAGGGAGCTCCACCGAAGGTCCCCGTGGCGCAGTCCGCATGCGGTTCCCTCACCCAGTACAGCGTGTCGTGGCCCCATAGGGGGCGCCACCGAAGGTCCCCGTGGCGCAGTCCGCATGCGTCTCCCCCACCCAGTACAGCGTTTCGTGGCCCCATATGGGGTCCACCGAATGTCCCCGTGGCGCAGTCCGCATGCGTCGCCCCCACCCAGTACAGCGTTTCGTGGCCCCATAGGGAACTCCACCGAAGGTCCCCGTGGCGCAGTCCGCATGCGTCTCCCCCACCCAGTGCAGCGCTTCGTGGCCCCATAGGGAACTCCACCGAAGGTCCCCGTGGCGCAGTCCGCATGCGGTTCCCCACCCAGTGCAGCGTGTCGTGGCCCCATACGGAGCTCCACCGAAGGTCCCCGTGGCGCAGTCCGCGTGCGTCTCCCCCACCCAGCGCAGCGTGTTGTGGCCCCATACGGAGCTCCACCGAAGGTCCCCGTGGCGCAGTCCGCATGCGTCTCCCCCACCCAGTACACCTCCGTCGGAGGCCGTCGGAGTTCCGCGACTCGCTCGCCCGTCCTCGCTTTGCCCAGCGGCAAGAGCCCTGCCCGCTATCAGCCAGCCAACTAACTCTCTTTGCTCCGCGCAGCGGACGACCCGCGCGCGTCGCTGGGACCCCTCCGGGGCGACCTGCGCGCGTCGCGGGGACTCCGCGCTGCGCTGCGCCCGCAGCCTTGAACTTTTGAGTGCGCGGGCAAAGAGGGAGGAACAAAAAGTGGAGGAATCGGGCGCGATCCTCGCGGGGGGGCGCGCCGACATTGGCGTCGCGGCGCGCGGGCGATGCCGTCGGGGAGTCCCGGGGAAGCTCCTTGCGTCGGCCACGCCCAGCGTCACGAGTACTCAGAGGCAGTCATTATCTAACTAATGACATTCCTATATACTTACACAATTCTTTGTCATACTCGCAATCATGCACGTAGACTCGCTCGCACGCAGATTCGTTCACAGTCAGACGCACTCGCGCTCAGATTCACCCGCGCTCAGTCTCCCTACGTACTCAGATCAATCGTTTTCGTTCGCGTTGTGCACCACGCCACTCATTTCGGCACACCCCTGGCACGGTTCGTTGCCTCATAGTGATCACCACCGAAAGCGTGAATCACAATTGCGGTACTCACACCTGCATATGGTTGGGTCCTTCATCAGGCTAATTTTTTGTTTTTCTCTCTCTCTCTCTCTCTTTTTTTCCGGTTTCCCCCCCCGCCCCCCTCTCGTTCCCTCATGATGCGTCGCACATATCCACCTTTCAGCGCCACGTTGTCTCCTGGTCTGGCTTGCGGGCACTGTGCGTGCCGCGCTTCTCTGTGATTCGCACCGCTGAGTGACACGGCATGGCAAAGCGGCACATGCTCCCGCATGCAAGCCAATGTGCTTAGGAACACTCACTTGAAGAAAGGAGGCCAAACGATGGCGTCTAGGACCGCGCAGTGCAAGGCGAAGATGGCGGTGCCAACGGTGCCTAGGACTCGAACGCAACATCCTGCTGCCTCCTGGACCTCCACCGGCACGGCGGCTAACTTCGAACACGCCCAAGCTAGAGCCAATATGCCGGACATGGCGAGATCTATCCGGATCAATGTGTACATAAGTGTCGAAGGTGAGTTGATGTACGCCACGCACATCGGCATCCAAAACATCTCGCTGATGTAGAAAGCTAGGAGCCAAGCGCAGATCGCATTCACCTTGCTCTTCGGAAGAAACCTGCAAATGCGCACCGCATACACGAGGCTCGGAAAGAAACCAATGGCCGAAACTGTCATTGACACGTAATATCCGTACCTCAACCACGCCCAACCAGGGTCACTGAGATGGCCCCAGAGCGACATGGCGGTGCCATACTGGCGCATCAGGACCGCAATGCCCCACACGTATGAGCCACAGAGGACGGTCCCGCCGCCAAGATAAGTGCCCAGCACAACCCAACTGGAGTAAGAGCCTGCGAGCAGGAGGAGAGGGAAGAAAATGAGAAGGACTAGGGGAACGAGGAGACCCCCCCCCGCCGTCATTCCTGGAGACTCGCCATCGGTGCCCAGCAACGCCCTTGACGGCTTTGGGCGGGGACCCTGGGCTGCAGAGACCGCGGCCTTCCGTATTCCGCTCCGCCTCCTCCTCGTTTTCGTTCCTCCTCCTCACCTCCTCGGCTCCCTCCCTCCTTCGACCCACAGGCAGGGCTCGCCGGAGAGGGATGGATGCTCCTCTTGGAAGCCTCCGGAGAGAAAAAAAGAGGAGGGAGAGGAGGCACGACGCCCAAGCTGCAAGAACCTTCCCGTGTGTGTGGTTGGCGCACGAACGTGCCTAATCGTTGGCTAAGAGTGCCCGTGCATCAATACGTCCTTCCTTCATGCTTCAGCTGGGATCGTGAAATCGAACGCACGCGATTGGTTGCGAACATCCGCCACCGTGCACTGTGGCACACAGAAGAGTATCCCCAGGTCCCTTGCTCACCTCCTGAGCCCCAGATTTTAATCCAGAAGATTCTTTTGCGGGCTTCCCGCGGGCCTCCCAGGCCCCGTCGCGTCCTGTCGCGTGAATGTTTCGGCCTTGATACGCCCCAGAGACGGGCCAAGAGGGTTCCAAGAAGCCTGTCAGACGGTCCACGAGGGCATCGAAGTCGCCGAGTGAACGGTCCAAGACGCTGCAGATGGCCTCCAAGCGGCTGAAGAGGCAGGCCTCTCAGACGTCCCAAGAGGCCTCCCAAAGTCTTCCAAAGAAGGCACCGCAGGGCTAAATTCATGGACCTCCTGGTTTTCGAAAGTTTTGGTGGTTCTTGCTTTTTCTTGCCCCCGACGCTCGAAGACGGCCCAAGAGGCCCTCACACCGGCCCAAGAGGTCTACAAGGAGGCCCTAGAAGCGCCCAGGACGGCCCAAAAGAGCCGAAAGACAGCCCAAGAAGGGAAACATGAACCGAACACCCAAGCCTTCCGACCAAAGAAACCCCAGGATACCTCAGGAGGCCCCTGCCTAAGAGATCTCTTGGACGCCCCAAGAAGCCTTCACGAGGATGCAAAGAGGCTTCAGAACGGTTCCCAAGCGGCCTCAAAACTGCCTCCACGAGGCCCCCGAAAGGCCCCCCGCGACATTCCAACGAACATCCCGAAGGCCCACGACCCACAATTCAGGCACGGTGGCGGGATGGGCCGAAACACACATCAATATCCGCCGCCCCCTGTCGAAGTTCGACGGGGGCCGGTAGGCCCGACCAGAGGCATCGCCTCAGGCGAAGCACAGCTCCAGCTCTGTTGTATCGTAGTAGCGATAATCCCAGTAGTAGGAGGTCGTCGCGGGACCGACGGGCCATCTCAAGCGAAGGATGTGTTCGGTCTCGATGGCGAATCGTACACTTCGCCCTGAGGTTAAGTCAGATATAGGCGGCCGGCCGCTTGAGCACAAACGGCCATGGACACACGCTCCTTACCTCTCGCCTGTGTCCCAGCTCACTTTAGAATCGGGGGGGAAGGAGACGAAGCGTGAGAGGCGCGTGCCACGGCCACTCGCGCTTGCTCTGACGGGCCGAACACTGAGGTTATGTCTACTGGCGCGGGGAAACCTGCATGCTTTTCCCAAGCGCCGGCCGCGCGCGCCAGGGACATTGGCAAGCCCGGTTGCGCGGTTGCCAAAGACAGCAGTGGGCCCGGCTGCGTGGCCGCTGCAGCAAATGAGCGCCCATCGCATCATTATCATTCTCGTGCGCATGTCATTGAGGACATGTGGACAGCTCGCGCTGAACTCCGAGCTCGTGGCTACATGTGCGATCGTATCGCACATACAGAGGTCATGACCTCTACATATACACACTACTTGGGTGCCTTACTCCCAGGGGATTATCAATTGCCACGGGCGGCAACGCCCGCTGACTGGCACGTTCGGTTGCCTGGGAAGCGGGCAGGGCCACATTGCCGACGCATCCAAGTTTTTTAGTGCTTAAAGCTGGGACTCTGCGCATGTCTTAAGTACTTGTGGGGCCACCAGGTTATTTCTGGAAACAAGGTCCCATACGAGATGCTATTGGAGATCTAGACTTGCAGGTCATGCGTGTGCGATGCTGCCATCGGTTTGAAATATGACCGTTCAAGTAACTTGCCTAGCGGACCGTATCTGCAGGTGGCAACTACCTACACGCGCATCCCAACTAATTTGTAGAGATGCACATGCCAAGCTGCAGGGAAACCTGCGCAACTTGCCGAGCATGAATTGGACTGCGTGGCCAAGGCGCTCAGAAGGCAGAGTGGCGCAACAAAACACTGGCTATCATGACTGCAAGGCTGGTCGGTCAAATCGTTTTACTTAAAAAAGAAAACCACACGAGCGCTGTACATCTTAGCATCCACACACGAGTGGATAAAGGAACTCGAACTTACGTTCAGTCTCCTAAGAATGGCCCTGAATGGGGCCATGTCGTGAGACGGGTTACGATGAACCTGGAATATACTATTATTCTACAAGACATCAAGATTCAGGATCAGGTTTTTGGGTACAATTACAACGCGCCGTTACCGAACGGCGCGACCAATATTCGCACTCGACTGCACTGGGAACCGCCAGAGCAGGTTCTCATCGGACAAGAGGACCAGCGACCACGCCCAAGGCGAGTTGCGTTCGTCAATGACGATCGTCTTTCTCCCCCTTCGATTGAGCGCGGCCGCGTGCTCCCTTTTTTTTCAAAACTTTCCGACGCTAAGCTCATTCGACACTGAACAACAGACAACACTACCGACAGATGCCCGGATCAAAGAAAAAGACGGACAGACAAAGAAGCGGGCATCAAGCCACGAAAGATACCCAAAGTAGTCGAAGAAGGCAACGACGATTGCGGTGACGACCTAAATCAAGCAGTGGCGCAGCGCCCCGGCTCGCCTATAGCCCCACCCAACAATGTTCGAATAACCTTTTGCGGTTCCCACGAAATGTTCTGAGAACATGTATGTTTGGGGCTGTTTTGTTTTAGCGCATCGGGTTTATGTTATAAGAAGATCGTTTCTGTTACTCGAACATTCTTGGGTTCTAAGACCATTTCGTGGTATGACTATAGGAATGGCGGGGCGGTCGGCCCCTTCTCAACTAAAGAGTCTCGGACGCAGTCCCCACTACACCGATATTCCCCTCGACTCCGACGCGGAAAGCGATGTCGAAGAAGAAACCTTCATCGCGTTGCCTGCGGGGCTACCTGCGGACGCACACGCAGATGCGTTCTCCATAATCCCAACTTTATGTCACGGGCGACACAACAGGGTTGACATGTTGGAATTGTGGAAGACGTGGGGGGGGGGGATATCGCAGTTCGCATTCAGCCGAGGTTTGTCTTCCAGGGGGACAATTAGGCAAACGTTCATACGTTGACCTTCGAAACAAGGATGTCCAGCATGCAGCGATGCATTAGTTAGACACGCGTTTCGTCAACGTTGTCATATCGCAACCGAACTGCAGAACGACTGGGCGACCTTCGTACTTCATTCCCAAGTCAATTATGACACGTGGCATGGACACCATAAAGAAGACCTTCCACATTTCAAGCGCTGCGGAAAAGTTGCCGTACGTCAAAACGACCCCCGAAGGTTTTACTTACGAGAGCAACCATTGGCTATTCGGGTGGATCAGATAGCGGAATGGACAACATTGCAACTCCAAGGGCACTTGCAACGTAATATGGATCAATGTACGACTGGTCTACGCGATTCCCATTGGGTTTTGATACGGAAACCGACCGAGATTATGGCCACCATCGTTTCTTATTTGCACAGTTTGAACGACAGCGATGCGTTGGCAAACATAAACATGCTTCGGTATGTAATAAAGAACTGCCTATGGTTGCACATTATACTTCAAAGATGTAGCCCCTTCTTGTCGATGCTGTTCAGATCGCGCGCGATCTATTCCAAGTGAGCCGTGATTCCTGTCATGGTTATCATAGGTTATCCTTATTCTTCCTCCGCCCCCGTCACCAACGCGCGGGGATTCGATTTGGGCGACCCAACTATCCCTCGACAACCCGACGGGGCGATCACGAGATAACCCTCGGGAGGATTTGCATGTCCTGCACGCGCAGATAATGTGAACATGCGCTCTCCCTCACAGGACAGAGACCCTAAACATTGCAGGCGGTATGATAAGGGGGACTACCATTGGGAATGTCCGAGTGGCAAGAAGAGCTACGGCCAGAACAAGCCTGGTCACTTACGGACGCCTGGCACATGCACGTTTGCCAAACCTTGGAAACTGCCCGACAACCACGGACAGGTACCACAAGCTCCTGCCGAACCGGCAGCACCACCACCCGATGCGCAAGCCGCACCGCCACTTGCGCGGCTACGAGCACCGAGACCTGGCTCTGGGGCTGGCCCCACAGCTGGCGCCAGCAGCCACGACATTGCAGTTGGCAGACATGCTGCTGAACCTGCTGCGGGGCAACCTGCCTCGAGCGGAGCTGGTTGCTCGGATGGCCACCGCCGGCTGCCACAGGCCAGAGCCAGACGCGGTCGACAGCAGGGGGGGGACCTGCCTCCACCGCCGCCTGCGGGTAACCCTGCTGCACGCCCGCGACTTCCAGACTGGTCACGATTCGATGAACAAATCAGCTTGCGCAACTTACGAAGCCTTGGCCCAGGCGCGGTAACACGCGAGTTGCGGAAGCCACACTGGCGATGGTTCCAGGCTGAAGAGCTCAAGATGAGACTCAGGTCTGGACAACGTCAGGCCCGACCTGATCAAAGGCGTCTGCGACACACGTCGGGGGCGCAGGGCTTGCGGCAAGCCAGGGCATACTGTTACATCATCCACTGCATTGCCCGGCACGTTCAATGAAGAAGTCGAATGCGACCTTATGTTCCACGAACAGGAACACAATACATTTCACAGCATTGATCGTTGCATTCGCTATGATATTGGAATGGAGATACCAGATAAGACAATGACCAGTATCCTAGATGCGTATCATCAGTGCTGGATGCAATTCGGACCTGCCAAGGTACTCCACTCCGATGGGGAAGTTGCCCTTAACAACGACATTGCAAAGGCAGTCCTCAAGGCAAAGGGCGCTGAGCTGAGGGCGCGC